AGACGTCAAATCGTAAGCATGCGTGGTGAGGAGCAAAAGAAACCCACCGACAAAGGGAGTTGAAATTCTGAAGAAATTTGTGGCATTCAATAAGAGGCACAAGCTTTCTTTTAAACATCCCGCGGAAGTTGCTTGTTTCGATCGTAATTTTATCATCCAAACGTTTCTCATTCCACGATTAACAGCATCTTTGGATGATAGACGAACATCCTCTTCGTGCGAGCTTCATTCGGTGTTAGGTGACTCTCTTCAGCTTGTTTTAGGTAGCTTCCGGCAAATATGTCATCAATAGCGGATAAACCAACAAAAATGAAGATCAAAACCAAAGAAACATAAAAGAGCACGTTTCTTTTTGATCAGTGCCGGCCGGCTACACCTCAGTCTCTCTCAACATGAGTTGAGCGTCTACCAGGCTGGCCGCGTCGTCTCGACCTATATCGCGCAGTTTCTCCGCCAGTTTATAGAGAGGATATTTCTTGCTCTCTAACGCTGTTAAAAGAATGTCCGTCGGAGACGCAGAGGAATTGCAATTTGCCAGCCACCTAATATGTTTCATTTCAAATCCAACACTGCCGGCTAAAGATCTCCAATCGCCCTTGGGATGCGGTGGATCAAGAATCAAAATCAGTTCATTACGTATCCTGTAGGTAAGTGAGTCCGTCGATGGCGAGGGTTCGAAACCAAACGAAAAGTAACCAGATGAGGTATTTTTCAGTTGAATTGGCGACCCAGTTGGGCTACCGGGACCTGCTCCGCCAAGCAGAATATTCGCTTGTGACGTAGAATGCAAATGACTACATAACGAGCCTGCATGCAGTACGGCAGCGGTGTTATCTTCTAGAACAGGTTCGCTTGCCGCCTTAGATAAGCTGGTCGATCCTCCGCAATAACAGGTTTGCTCCGATGCTTTGTTACTCGACTCAGACATGCTGCCCTGGTCCTGAAATTAAGATTAACAATAACTTATCACGGTTGAATAGATATAACGCGAGGCAGGAAACAAATAAACGCTGAAACATTGCTTAAGCTCTTACTGCCGCTTACCATCGTTATGGACGATTGTTCGATCGCCGTGGACACGCTAACTTCTTGTTCGTCGCCATCTTGGCAGTCCTGAGTGACTTCAAAGGAGGCACGGAACTGGGGCACGCTTTTGTCGACTAAAGAGAACGTAAAACTACGACTTGGCATGCTCTCAATACCTTCCCAGATATGTTTAAAACGGATTTTCTACGAAAAAGAAAAAGGAAACAAACAAATAAACAAGCAAATCACTTCAACAGGCTTTCCTAAAATGTCATAAACTGATTAGACTGTTCACAGTTCCCTCGTTGAAAACGAGCGCTACAGGCGACCATCTTGACCAAGTTCATCTCTTAAAGATGACTATCTTATCGACTCAGGGCACTTTAGGAGGTGGCAAGAAAAAATATATGGGTTAGGGTTAGGGTGATTTTATTTTTCTCGCCTCCCTTTCCCAACCGCTTTAACCCTAAGAGTGATCATCGTAAATATCTCCTAATAATATCAATGCTTTGTAAAACAGAGTGGTCATATGAGAATTACCCACATGATCACACAAGATGAATTTGCTTGATATTTTAACAACTTCTCCCCAGTACCCCTGTAGGAAATGAACAGGTGCAACAAATGAGAATTCAAATTTTGATCTTTGGGTTTATAAAGGGTTAAACCACACGACAACCGTCCCCTCGGTACATTTGAAATCAATAACAAAATAGCTGGTGAGCGGTGAGCACCGGAGAGCGCTCGATCAAGACGATCTTATCAAATAATAGGGGACTTTGAGGAATCTATCTGACATTCTCTTAAAAATAATGTGCAACTGGACAAGCAAGTCGTCACTCACCTTTTGATCTACACCGGTGTTTTTCCAGCCCGGGTGATTATCTGTGAGGTTGACTAAGAGATCACCTCCACCGTCAATAAAGTAAAAAGGCTGAGGTGCCTCCCTTGTTATTCCTTTTAACCTCTCTGTGTCTTGACTGTGTAAATTCTGGAAGAGCACCAAGAAAAAAAAAATATGATGATTATGAAGAGCAACAATGAACAATTACTGGACGAGGTTGAGCAAAGTATCGTGATTTGTCAGTGGCGAGCAGATCAATTATTTGGCGAAGCCAAAGGCTTCGATCTGCGAGACACTGACAAATCACCATATTTTGCGATAACCTAGTTCAATAGTTTTTTCATCATTCGATCACAGAGTTTGTTTGTTTTCTTTTTTTTTAATGAATATTTGCCATTTTCACGCAAGAGCGATCGCAAGGAAGAGAAAGCGTAGTTTCATTTACGCGTGAATAGAATATCATTTGCAGCCAAACACAGTTGGACGACATTGCGCATGAGCAAACTATTATTTGTAGGCAGTTATTGCAGGTCAGGTGGTGGGCTCTCGGCCGATGAAAAGAAAGGAAGATTTGTATCGAATGATGAATCATCATCATCATCGCATTTTAGCAACTCTTATTTCGGTAACATTCAACTATAAAGCTCAAGCGATCCTCAGACGGCGTTCAGTGACGAGGCTCTTCGCCGTGAAAATGCCATTGTGCAAAACAAAGAAGAACACGAGACAATCATCAACGAAGAAAAACGTTACAAAGAAGAAAACAACAAAACAAACCTCTAAATGAACAGGAAGATCCCCTACACAGTACACTCTCACCACACAGTCACCATTTGCCTGGGCTGGAGGTGACACATATGCTACAATCTTTACTATTTTCTTGGCTGGTTCACTGGCAGCTGAATTTCCAGTTACAGCAAATGACGTGAAATGATCCACCATTAGATAAACCATGTTTGGTTCCAATAAAGCTAAGCAAGGATCTGAGCCATCCTGCTTATTGATGTCAATCAATTGTTTCCAGTCTGCTGGCGCACCCGACTCTGTCTCGTTGTACTGGACTATGGATAGAGAAAAGAAGAAAAGGTGTCAACATAAAACCTTTTCTAGGAGCAACATTGGATTGACCGTAGGTGTCCGTCTTAAGATGGATTTCCACTGCCGCGTAATCTTTACTTGCGTACACACGTAGTTTAACGAGAGTCAATAAATTAGAGGCAACATATGAAGTGTCCTGCGTAAGAATAAACGTAAAAGTTGAACGTCGCTGAACTTTTACGTTTACGCCCGATCTTTTACATTGCCTCTGATTTATTTCTGCGCATAAAATTTCCGTGCGTCAGGTGACAGTGGAAATCTGTCTGCCTAATAGAGTACTAAAGTGTGACGTCATAAAAATGAAATTTTTGAAATTATGGGATTTGTCAGGATATTCTGAAAGAACAATGCCCAAGAGGCCTATTTGCCAAAAATGAGCATTTCTGGGCAAATTGTCCCTAAGACAATTTGCCCCGAAATGCTCATTTTTGGTAAGTAGGCCTCTTGGACATTGTTCTTTCAGAATATCCTGACAAATCCCATAATTTCAGAAATTTCGTTTTTATGACGTCATCACTTTAGTACTCTATAGAAAATCAGAGAAAAGAACTAATCTGCAACGACAAGGACCAACTCTGGGTATCCTTTTTATCCACAAGCATACTCTCCAGACTGATCCCCATATATTTCCTTATTATTAAATGAGAGAATTTGATCCAAGATCAAAGCATTTTCTTAGATGATCATCTTATCAATTCTCATAACTTTTTCTCTTGATAATGTCTTGATATTCTTGGGAGAAAACTGATGTTGATCACTTTTGGGACTTACAGATTTAAAATGAAGTTGAGCGTATCCAATTGCCCACACTGCAGCATGTTCTAGATAAGATTATACGTTTTCAATCTGGTTTATATTTTGACTGAATCAATAATAAAAATTCTAACAAAATTTTAAAGACCATATTTAGAAAAACCTGCATTTGCGTTAGAAAAGAAGACAGAATGCAAATTCAAATGAAGAAACGAGACGAAAAAAAAGGAAATAAGACTCGTTGCGCACATGGCAAAGTCAGTGTTGTTTTCCATCAAACTGGTGGGTGACAGCTCGAGCAGAATTACTATACAAAACTTAAATTCTTTGGGTTATATTTGACCTAATTGGCGAAAAGCGTGAATTCTCCTTTGCGCGGAAGACACAAGACTCGTAAGCCACGGCTCTCCCCAGCGTCACTCTGTTTTTCTCTCGTTTGTTTAAAGGCGTCGTACAATCATATTTGCAATTCCAGTGCGAAAAAATGACTATAAAATGTACGACTGGCTTGCAATCTACCGCCGAATGAACTGTACACACCAAAATGAAATACGTATCAGACCAAAGTTGTTTAGAAAGCTGGATGGTACTATCTAGTGGATAAATCACTGCGTATAGTACAATTGGTTTCACTGTCACTTATCCATATCTCTCCTACATGCGGTTGTTCTTATTCGCTATGCAACTTTCGAACAATCACGGACGGGTGTAAAAAGAAGTAACAGTCACCTACTCACCTTTTAAATTCCAGGCACCGTCCTCAAGGAGAGCACAGTGTGGCAGGCTTAAAACCACAGGACGCTTGAACTTGAGGCCATTTGGGCCACACTTCACAACTGGACTCAATAGGGACTCTTTGGCGGTGATATGAGGATGGTCCTTTTCTTGGTCCATGATAGCTATATATATGCCTTCAGTGTGACCCTCTGGGATAGCCTGGGGTGGTACAATGAGGCTCACTCCTGTGTCCCCTATGGTGAACCTCCCTCCATTATGGTCCACTAGTCCCCACGCCATCATCTTGGGATTCACATTTTCTGGGAGGTTCGAAATATTCCACATCATGCGAGAGATATCTGAAGCAGTCGACTTGTTACTGATAGAAGAATTTGTCCTTTCGTATCTTTGCTCCCTATTCTTCGTCCTTTCATTGACTATTTCAACTTCAGTGGTTTCAGTAGCAGGTCTTTTAAATTCTTCTTGTTCGACACGCCTGCTCTTAGGGGATTCTTGGAGGGGAAGCCAAACAAAATCAAACTCTTCGTCAAAAGTCGGAGAAACTGCCCGAAGCTTTTCACTACGTAGTACGGGGGACGACTCTTCGTAGGATGATGAACGAGTGATAAGTGGTGATGTGCTGTCCAGAGTAGCTTTTTTAAATGACCCTAGAAATAAACAACATGCATGTATGTGTAGGTAATCATAAGACTTAAAGATTTCAATTTGGAATTTATTTGCAGAAACTGCGGTTTTCAAAAAGTATCGAAATTGAAGATGTCCGTAGGGCGAACGCAATTTTAATACTTTTTAAAAAACACAGGAGTGCAAAGAGATACCAAATTGAACGAGAAAAGTCGTATGATTACCCTTAATATACAAGGTAAAATTCACTTGACTGGTTCTTATATAGTTCAATTGTCTATTGGCCAATCACAATGCTTCCTTCCTTTAAGATAATTGCATTTTATTTCCTCGTTTTGGAAAAAGCGCCTCCAAAAAAGCTATAGTAGAGCTGATCAAGATACGTTTTGCGTTTACTGGTTTTTAATCAAGGTTCAAAGCGTTATGATGAATCAAATTCAATTCAATACAAGCTAAATCGACAACAAAGTTGTTGAGGCATTGTACTTCAGTGAACAAAACAATCCACACCCCTCACCCATTCCCTCCATTCAAAGTTGGTGTGTTCGGTATTATTACAGGTAACTAATTATATTTATAGCCCTTGAAAAATGTAGAAAAGAATGCGATATTGTTTAAATTATTCTGGTACAAGGTGAAAATTAAAATTACTTAATTTCCTGATGGATTCTGTCTTAATTATTAGCCCCCTCCAGAAATATGCCCCATCTACAATCGGTGACAAAATCAGTTGAGACACTTTGCCCTAAAGGCCTTTCTGACGTTTTTACCGACTTCAAAAGGGGAAAAAAAAGTTTTCCTTCAGCCATCCCCTCCATGCAATGTGCGCTCTTCAAGCTACTTGTAAAAAACAACAAAGACTATTCCTCATGGTGGCTTGAGAAAATAAATGTCAAATTTCACAAGAATTGTGAAAACACAGGTAAAATTCTTCAAAATTTCTAGTGTAAGGTGTCATTTTGTGAAATTTGACGTTTATTTTCTCGGGCTCTCATGAGAAATTTTCTTTGGAGTTATTACAGATAGCAAATTACATCTATAGCCCTTGAAAAATGTGAAAAGAATGCTATATTATTTAATTATTTTGGTACAAGGTTTTTGTTGACTGAAAATTAAAATTACTCAATTTCCTGCTGGATTCTGTCTTAAATCTTTTCGTATCACCCAGTTCCCCTGTATCTGAACGCCTGGAACAAGCTAACGGTTTAAAAGCAGAGTCAACCTACTTTAAAAGTGCCGTAAACATTTTCTTTAAACTATTAATTCACTTCTGATATCCACTGTGATATCCACTATGTGAATCTGATATCCACTATGTTCGCTTGGTTGATTATCATTCATTACTTTCACGACCATAAAATAAGAGAGAGTCGACTGTAAAGAGAGAGTCGACTGTAAACAAATAAATAAGTGAATAAATAATGATTTAGCGGTGGCACATCCACAAAGTGGAGAGGGGAACACCAGAATTTCTGCAGAAAACCTCTTGGTGTAAGGGCAACAACAAACTCATCCCATAATGGCAGCCTGAATTTCAGACAATAACTTTGAGTCAGTTTCACTCCCTCAGTAACGTTGTTATTGACGGGGTAAAAAGGACTCAAAGTAATCGTCTGAAATTTAGGCTAATATAATGGCCTTTTCCTTAAGGATTTGACCCAACAAATAGTTCAAAACTTCGCTATTGACTAAAACAAACACTAGCTGGACATACAAATGGGTCACCCATTTAGGAATGTTAATTTACCTAATTCAAGTCCACTTTCCGGAGTGTATGCTCGAGCTGTTTTCATCTGTCTTGATTTTTGTGAAAATCTTGATACAAATACTACTATCAATACCAGCAGAATCACGATCACTCCTACAATAATCCCTATTTTAATGGCACCTAAAGAGAACAAAAAAGTAGTGACAAGTCATTCTAAAATGCTGCTTAAATGATTTAACTTTTATTGTGTGATTTCCTGGGCAAAAACAGCTCTAATATGGTTGCAACCCTAAAGTGTGTAAACAGTCTGATTTGGCAAATTCATCTGGGTATATCATAGTCAGGGTGCTGAAAATTGAAGGTGAACAAATTAAAAACTGTCCACCAAACTGGTTTATCTCTAAAAACGCTTTAAAAATACACTTAATATCAATCAAACCTGAAGTTAAGTCCCCTTATAAATCGATCTTCTTACTTTCAGTACTAGTTGTATTGGTATAGAATTACTAGACTCTAGCCAAAAGATTAATTTGATCTTGTCAGTAGTAGTTATAGTAAGCTCAAAATCATAACGTCAGTTTAAAGGAAATAAATAACAATTTTATGTAAAGGTAGCACATGCACTAAGTGGTTCTTTGTCTACTTCATTCCTGGTCAAATTGGAATTTGGAATTTTTGGTACAAGATTTCAGGGTCCTTAATTTTTCAGTTCACTAAATAACAATATACAAAGTGCTGCTAATATCTCTCTTTTTAAATCCAGATTGAAAACATTTCATTTGCACCCTGCTAGCAGAGCCACTCAATTTTGACGATGTACTCAAGAAAGACTCTGCATGAATCAAGTAAGATCTTTGTTGAGCATGCGCTGCATGTTGCTTTAAGGATATAGTAGGCTCAGTTATGATCATTGGTTTATCAATAATTCATGTATCCTTGCACTCGAAAAAACAGTTTCACAAGAGAGAACAAGATTGACTGGTCCAGAAGTTTGGGCTGCTGCGACCTCAAAGTCTTCACCTGACTCAGGCAGTGCCTCTTTCTCTCCTCTTCACAGAAGAAGACAGATGGAAGCTCTGTTCACAGGGTGATCCATTTGCCCATGGGCCATGAGAAAACAAAGATGTATCAGAGCCCAAGAACTGCATTAATTTTTCAACATACTTGCTGGAATTCCCTAGCCTGCGAGCAAGCTCTCCTATTTGGGTAAGCGAAGTGAGCCTCGCGAGAACGCGCGAGCGAGGGGGCCGAGGAAAGGAGAGCTTGCAACCATCTCTCATAAATTTTCATTTCCACCCCGGAAACCCCGGGACTCCACAAAGCGTGAAAACTGTCACCCCAAACGTGCCGCAGATTAGAAAAGTGACAACCGACAGGCGAGGACGCGTAGAATTATTTATTTATTTATAAATCGCTTTCGCAACAGCATCAAAGCAATGTTTTTATATGTCTTCTTTCCACGGGGACATCGAACTTCAACGTGTCCGCTCGGATAAGAACTCACTAATTTGATTCTCGTTTCGTTTACTTTTGAAAAGTCATTCCTACTGCAGTGTAGAAGACTACTCCCCATCGCAATCACCAACAAAAACATCATATATTTGTCCGTCTGGAACTGGAGAATAGCGTTTTCCTGCACTTGGTTCTCTTAAGCTTTACTCCAGTTGCTTCCAACTCTTTCTCTTTTCCTTCTTTACGGTCACGCTACACAGTTACACTGTCAAGTACATGTGTCTGAATTTTTCTACCCAGTAGAATTCAACCGGGCGAAGAAACCGATGTTGGAAAACAGCGCTTGAATCACTCTTCACTTTCACTCTCCCGGTTTTCAGAACTAAACAAGGTGCTTGACACAAACGAATACAACTCAGTGATGAAGGGTTTTCATTTTCCTTCCACAAGAACTACAAACTCGATCCGACTTATCCTCGGCTCGCAATATTCTCTTTACGAGAATTACATCAAACGAGCCCGTCTGCTTTGAGGGCTGAAACAAGTTCTCGGTACCAATCTGATCCCCCTGAGAACCAAATTTGACACACAGACGAAGCGGGTGCCAGCTTAGCCTGTTATCAATCAACTTTGATTTCCGGAACGTCATTTTTCAGCCAATGGTATTTCCCTTCGTCTGGGCGAAGTACAAATGAAAATTTGTAAGGGATGGTTGCAAGCTCTCCTTTCGCCGGCCCCTCGCGGCTTCGCCGCTCGCTCGCGCGTTCTCGCGAGACTCGCTTCACTCGCCCAAATAGGAGAGCTTGCTCGCAGGCTAGGAATTCCCTGGCAGGAATAACTACAATTAGGTAAATTTTAGGGGAAATGGCAGTCTGCAAGCCAGTTACCTTACACTTTGATCCCATTCTGTCATTAACTAACACAGAAAAGAATGTTGGAACATAGCGAATGTAGCTGTAAGGTGTTGGTAGGTATTCTGAATCTAGTACTACATTTTTAATAGTACAAAAGGAATTGACAGAATTTTCATCCATTCATCAAGAAATACTTAAAAAATAAAATTGGTAAATAAATGGAAATGCATTAAATAATACCTTTATATATAGAAGAGCACTTATCTTATATTAACTGAAATAATAATAATTATTATTGAGCCCAGATGTGACATAATCTTCCTTCTTATACCTGTTAAAATATAACCTTCACTTACTAGGTGTTCCTGGACTGAAAGCTAGGGTATTGCTTGGAGGTTGAGTTGATATATTGTCAACTATGTTTGCTTTAGCAAAAAAAGAGAAAATAAAGTTATTAAGCAAACTAGATGTTGTGTTGTCTTTCAAACAATGCATATTTACAGTAAAAAAATTGACTATGATAAGCATATACAGCTATCTACAATGAAAATGTACGATACAAACAGGTCCTCCCCACCACTCCCTCCCTCCCCCCCTCCCCCACCCCCCGCTTCCTCATCACCATTAAGATGGTCGGTGCTGGTTTTCAGCATTGATAAAGTGATGGTTTTAACTTGAACAGAATGGAACCAAAAGGAGCATTTGGCTGGGGTTTTTTTTAAGAATAAGAGTGCATGCGTGACTAGTCAACATGGTAAGTGAATTTTTTTGCCAGTCAAGTCCCCATTCTAGCCAGATATTGTCCATTGATAGGCTGTTATTTTGAGCCTTGAAACCTATGAATATTCGTCAGGTACTGCTCTTCAATTACAATAACGAGAGGTACAGCTTATTGTTATAAAACTTTGTTATTTACTCAAAATATTTCTTGTTTGAGTCTGATTGGCTCAAATCCATCACCTAACTCTTCATAACCAGCTAGCATTCAACATATTTGGAAGATGTTTGTAACAATTATTATCTGGTAAAATGACATCAGTAGTACAGGATAACACCAAAAAAAATGAAATAACTGAACCTCACCTTTTTTACGGCGCACTGTTATATTGAAGGAACAGTTAGCTGTCTGTCCATTCTTTTCCCTCAAAACGTAAGTAATGACATAAACAGCATTTTCTGAACAGTTGACGAGCTCCACAGGTGGGACAGCCCATGGTGGAGTTACTTCAATACTATACTCTGTTTCATTCACTTCTGGCCTACTAAAATTCCAAGATACAACTTTTCTCTTAAAATCTGAATCGTTGACATACACAGAAATGTCATCAGGGCAGTTGATTTTCAAACCTAAGCAAAATAAAAGTAAAAATTACCAGGTACCCCTCTACATGATATTGAACAAACAAAACCATGCAGCATTTTCCTCAACGGCTTAGACAATTCCAAGTATGCCAATCCCCACGACATTTGCAGGGCATTTGTCATCTTATCAGTCCCCAGTGTTCCAGCCAGAAAATTGTGCTTGAGGGCAAAAGTGGTCCTTACAACCCATTTTTGGGGGCCAGGTATTTCAAGAAAGGGCCAATGTACCAGTATCTCTCTAATATGCAAAAGAGAAGAAGCAGTTGGAAAGTTAAGGAAATGAAAATGTCAGTTTATTTGAAGCTGACATGGAGCGTCCCTTTTTATACACAATAGAGGAAATCTTCGGTAATAAAGCAAACAGTACAATCAGAATGTATGCAATAAAAATAGTAATTTTTTTCATCTCATTTTCCACTTCACCATCAAGATCTGCTTTCATTCGCTTATTCTGAACTGCTTCGTCTCCATCCACTTTTTCGTTACTTCTGAGAAAAAACTTTTGATAGACTTCGAAGATGCGTTTGTCAGGTTTATCGTTTTTCGAGATGCCATGATGGATACCCATGAGCTTCTGCGATATTACAAAAGCCAAGTCGAGGCTTAGTGGTCTCCAGACCCCTCTCGGTAAATCAGGTAAACTCAAGAAGATTCATCGATTGATTTTCATGTTGTGTACAAAGGTACGGAGTCATTGTTCTTTAGATTAAAAATTCTGTTTAATTGGAACATTATTGTAGTTGAAGTAACAGAGACCATTTTAAGCCCAGGCAATTAAAAAAGGAAAGGGCCATAATGGCCCTTGAACGCTTTTGGTGGGGGCCATCTCTCGATCTTTTGTGGGATTCACGCCATGGCGCGCTCTGGCTGGAACACTGAGTCCCGGTGGTGGGGAATTTGTCAGAAAACCTCTCCCCAGGGGTGGGGCACTTGTCAATTCTTCTAGAAACAGTTATTATTGTGCCTTTTCAACATTAATTTCACTTTACTCATTTTGTAACACAAAATAAATTACAATAAGTAGCAATAAAGTCATAACAAATGGTGTTTGATAAGATTAAAAATTAATTTAAAGTAGTAAACAGCAGGGAAATCTCAGGGACGCCAAGGAGCTTATAAGAAATATAGGGAATTCGATCCCCCCACCGGCATATTAAATCTTGAATGATAGATTTCATAATCTAGGCAACATTTTAAAATAAAAAAGAAAACAATTTTATGTACATGTATAAAGGATATAAGCTATAGATATTTCTATGAAGAATATTTTTAATAACATATGCTCTAAAAAAGATATGTGTGGTTTTCGTTCCATCACCACCCAACCCCACAGTATTTGTTGCATCCTTCCAGGAAATTTCTGATTTTTGTCTAAAGATGTCTCTTGCTTTAACTATGGCTGGATCATTTACTTCAAGTTGTACACAAGAACAGGGAAATTAAAAAGAGGACATGATGCAATTAATCGCAGAACACCAAAAGACGCATTATACAGATAAATTTAGTTTTGTAGGAAAGCCAAACCAAGAGTCGTATGTAATTATTTATGGGAGATTGCAAAAGTTATGTTAAAATTAACAGAGAGGAAAGTTATGGTTTTAATTCAAGGAGTTTACCTTGGTCTCACAATTGATACAACTGACTGAAGAAGAGTCTGATTGTTGTCCAAAGACACACATAGCTAGTTTAATCTTTTTCAAGAGTTTCCAAATTTGGTATGAGTGTGTAATTGTGAAGTAAATAATATTATTTAAGTACTGTTATTGTTATATAAATATTGGAAATATTTATTGTTAAATCACTGGTGTATTGCCCTGTTGAATATGGCATTTTCAGCTTACATTTATGTGAAAATGCAACACCACTATTTTTTGTGCGTGTGTTGTCACAGGGTGAGGCATTTGCACACTTTTTTAAGCCCCACAGTGAGTTTTTTTGTGAGAGACAGCTGACCCACCACTGGGCAATTGCAGCTGTTCCAAAAAAAACAATGACAAAATACCTGGGGGGGGGGGGGGGGGGGGGGAAGGGGGCAATGGGGGGGGGGGGGGGGGAGGGGGAATGGGCAGCATGGATTGACTGAGCCATTATAACTATAGCAACTCTTTAATTTATACTGTCATTATAATTGAAATTATATTTATATATTTTCGCGTCAAAGTCTAGCATACCAGGACAATGTCCCATACAAAACTCGTTCTTGAAGGGGAGTCCTTTGCAAATTTTTCCACCATTTTCAGGTGATGGATTTGTACAGAAGCGTCTCATCATCCTGGTACCATTTCCACAGTCCTGTGCAGTACAAGGTGAAAACTCCTTCCATGCAGACCAGCCACCATCAACTAAGAGCAAGTGAGAACACTACTCATGAGTTGAAAATATCTAAAACAACATGACATTTAAAATAATAGTGAGAGCTGTAATAATTATCACTGAGACAGGGGTGAGTACAAGATCAACGGTTTCAATAAGAGTCAGTTACTGGTGGTCTGACATGGCCTTGACCATCTGTCACTTGAGGTCACTCCTCTATAACTGAGCCTGCTGAGTGGTTTTTGTCAAACTTTAGCTATTGGTTGTCTATCTTAAAGAAAATTAGTTATAAAAATGGAGGCCGGTCTCCATTCTTGTTTAGGAGTAACCGTACCTTGTATTGCCCTTACAATACCAATAATTGTGATAATAAAAAAAAAGTACACATGTACACTTTGAACACAGTTCCAAGGATTGCTTCTTTTCCTGCACTGTAAATTGGTCCATATTTATTCAAGAACATTACTGCCTGACTTAAACTAGAAAAATATATCTTGCATAATTTAACCCTCACAATACAGTTGTACTGCCACTCAAGTTAAGTTGTGTCAGGCAGAGTTAGAAACAGGATGGGTGCCCAGATGCAAATATCCTGTCGTGAAGGTCCCACCAACCCTATATATAAAGGCAACTTGGGTTTCTGCGTCACTGCACAATCCACATGCAATGCAAATTTCAACAAAATAATAAACCTTTGATACCATTTTTTCTGTCAACTCCTCCTCGCTTATGAAAGCCACCATTTTTTAATGTGGCAAATTACACATAAAAATATACACGGAAAGGCTGCAAGATGCAGGAGGTGAAAGGCCCCTATTCCATGACCAGGAGCCACTTCAGTAAAAAGCTACAGAAACCGTTGTAAGATACAGGTGTTAGTTCTGTACAAGTTGAAAGAAAAAGGACCATTTTGATGAAGAGGGCTAGTGGACATAATTCTACTACTATTTGAAGGTGTTAAAAAGAGCCCACTGACCTACATGTAGATGCAAAACAATGGGATTAACAATAATATTATTACATGTAACTTGTAACCCCCAGAATACAGTGTCAAGTGTACTTATGCAGAACCAAATTTTTAATGAAAGAGTTTTTGACGCAGTGTAGAGATTTCTTCTACACATGTACATCTCTAAATGGTAATATATTTCTTATACTTACCATACACATTAAGTTTGACCTTATCAATTCGTCTTCCCACAGGGTTTGATACTTGACAAGAATAATAGCCAGAATCTGATGTCCATGCCTTCCTAAAAACAACCTGAGAAAGGTTATCTTGGTTTATGACCTCAACTCTCCCATCATAGTCCACATCCAAAGGGACACCATCTTTTAGCCATGACACATTTGGGCTTGGGAGTGCATCGGGGAGGTGGCAATTAAGGGTCACCTGAGAGCCCTTTGCTACCTTAAGGGCAGAAGGTGAAATAATGATGTTTTCACCAAGATCTGGGAAAGAGATAATATGAAGGCCATAAGTTGAAATGAAATGCAAATTAAAATACCTATGAGGATGTACATTATCAGTTAAACAAATAAATACATGTGCAATGAGTGCTAGCTTGCAAATAAAATTAAATAGTCATTGTAAAATGTAATTTCCTAATGCATGAAGCAACTACATAGGAATTCTTAACTTCTCGTAAGAACTTGTTTCAATGTGTTTGTGAGTTCCAGATTGAGTGAAAGAGGTGAAAACCAGAGTACCTGCAGAAATACCTCTCAGAGCAAGGGACAAAACCAACAACAAACCCAGCCAACATATAGAGTTGACACTGGGATTTGAACCTGGACCACACTGGTGGGAGGCAAGTGCTCTCACCACTGTGCCACCGGCCTTGCGCCCCAAGTCAGCAAGTGGTCACTCTCAGGACACAGAAACTGGAGCTGGCCACTTACTAGAGTGACCCATGTGATAACCCAGGATAAATTCTCCCCCCTATTCTAATAACAAACACATGAGGCAAGGAAAAAGAGTTTGTATTTTAATCATAACTATAAGAAAATTCTTACATCTGATTGGCTATCAACTGTCCTGATTTCAGTACTAATAGGACAGTACGCATCATGCTTAAGTAATTGGACAGTACGTGCCATCACGCACTTAAACGGCTTTTATTTTCACTGCTTGCTTGAGTTTTGATTTTAAAAATAGCTTAATGTATATAATGTATATTTTGTTATAGTTATAACGGAACTTTGTGTTATCCAATTTGATCTGTAATCATAACTATAACAAAATTGTCAAATCTGATTGGCTCTCAACTGCCCTGATTTCAGCCTTAATTGGACAGTTTAATAGAACAGTACGCGTCATGCCTAAGTAATTGGACAGTACGCGCCATCACTGGTAAATTGTTTGTAAACTGCAATTCTACCCTTCATGTTCATTTTATGTTCCAGTCAATTCCAAAACTGACCATCCCTCCCCAGGCATATTGCGGGCATTTGACTGGAGTTTTGCTTCTTGTACAGTAGCAAATTTGACCCATAATGAGGCTAGCTGCCCACCCCTTTTGTATCAAAACGCTGGTCAGCATCAAAAGCAAAAGGATGTTGTAATCCCTTCACTCAGCATGTTCACGGGTCATTGCCTCCATATTCACTGTGTTGTTAAGGCATTTCAAAGCCTTTGAAAGACTCTGTTACATGTGGGATGTCTGGAATGCACAATTTTATTGAAAATGTGAACAACCTCTGTAAGACAGCTTTCAGAGACTTAAGATATTTCTGTTATATTTAGTAGGATATTTACATTTGAATAAACGGTTTGATGTATGGGAAAATTTTTGAACAGTTAGTGGATGGCATCGAAGCGAAGACGTCACATACTTAAAAATTTTTCCTGGTGTTGAAATCCAAGACGCACATCCAAACTTCAGATAGAGAAAGATAAATTCGACACTGCTTGTTTATGTCCTCCATAAAAAGTGAAATCTTCACCTTGTAGTTTTGCAATGATGGCAAGGCAAAAAGAGCTTTGACTGCCATCCCATCTTAAGGTCCCTAATACCTCACCAGGTGGGTGAGGGATTTGACACTTTTTGAAGTGCTAGCCTGTAGGGCATTTGACCATCTAAACTGCCAACATACAGAGGCATTTGACGGAAATTTTTCACCAAAGTCAAATGCCCAGGGATTTACCCAGTAAAGTGGGGGGAGGCATGGGCAGTTTTGGAATTGACTGGTACATTAAAAAAGAAGAATTTATATTAAGCAAAGTACTTACAAGCTTTCTTTACTACCGCAGCTTTACTCCTTAATACTAAGCCATTATAACCAATAGCTTCACAAACACAGGAAACCTCAAGAAGATCATCAGGCTTGATCTTGGAGATGGCGACAATTAACTTGGTCTTGTTACGTTTATTTTCACGAAGGTATATTTCTCTAGGAATGACACCTCCTGAACAGTTGAACTTAAGACTGGAAACAAATTTAGCTTCGCAGGACAAAGATGCTCGGGAACTAGGCAGGATTAAGCCGTCATTTGGTTCAGTAATAAATTTTGCCTCATGGCCTGTTGTTAAAGAAAAAGGGCATTGTTAGTGCACATCACCAAAGTCCACGAATTATAAAATTATCACTGTTATAGGTGTGAAATTGTCACCTCAGAAAATGTTTTTCATCTGGTGGGAGATTTATTCACTTCAAAGAGTGCAGCGGTTTTCACTGGATACGCTTTAGTGGATAACTTACTGGATTCGTTAACCCATGATTTATCCACTACACAGAGATTTTCCTACGACCCAAAGTGATACATTTTCGATATAAGCTACAGCGTAGGGAGGTTCTTAACTTTACAAGAACTATATTTTTGGGGTAAAAATATAGTGGAAAATGCAGCTTTGTTGGCTTTTTCATTGTTGAAGTAATGTTCTCAAACTCATTAATAATTCATAAAGAAAATTCAAAGGAAATTAATGTTTAATGAGTGTTTGGATATCAGATGAAAAACTGCTCATTTTTGCATCCTTAATTTCTCCTTCAAAAATGATTTTGTTTGAGAAGAAATATCAAACATTNCAGCCTTCGGCTTCGGCAGATAACACAGACCTCGGTTTTGATAATTCATGATATCATGATCAACCTCATCCAATAATTGTTTATTGATAATGGTAATTGAACTGAGTGGAGTGCAATTTGGTCTGAAATCACAAGTATGATTTCAGACCAAAATTGCACGACACGAAGTTCAATTACCACTTTATTACATCCATTTTGAAATCGCAGAATTTACTCAGTACTAATATTTTATTGATCGAGTAGCCGGTTTGTTAAAAAGCCGAAACAAAAAGGCTTTTACGTCTCATTTTGTATTCGAAACAGAAATGATGCGATATATAGAAGAAAAATGGTGCGATTTAAATCAGAAATGATGCGATTTAGAACATGAATGACGCGATTTAGAACAGATGCGATTTAGAGCAAAAAATGGTGCGATTTAGGAATAAATCACACTGCTGAGAGCCAATCAGATTGCACGGATAGCCAGTGATTTCAAAGTGGATATAATAAATTACAAAATAAAGAACTGCCAAAAGAAAACGTGCTTCCACAAATTGACCTTGACAATGTTGCTAATGTCAACAACCATCACCACCTCGACAATAGCGAGACAATTTTTCGCTTCGGTCAAAACCAAAACCCCAGTTTCTTTCGTCTTCTTTGCACCGACTACAAACACAAACTACGTGTTGTGATAGAGAAAACCTTAACGCAGTTAAAAAGCTTCATATTCAGTGTACTGTAGAAACAATCGTATCGAACACACCGATCGATACGGGGTAACCTCGGGGTAATTGCACGAAATTGAACTTATTTATTAGCTTATTCCATTTCGCAGTTAAATGCTTTGCAAAACTTTCTTTACAGAGGCAAAGGAGGAAAATAACACTTACTTGATTCTGCTGGTGGTATACTCGAGCTTGATCCAAATGCGATCAAAAAAAGAAATCCGATGACAAGTGCGTGGACCAGCGGAAAAATGCGCATTTCGATGGCGTGGCTAGCTCACTGTGTTTCGTTTCTTTCTTTTGAAACAGCCCATGAAAATGTTGTTAACTAAGTAACATTTCCTTCAAAAGGTTAAAGCCGGATGAAGTGCTTGTCGTGAAAAGATGAAATAAAGGTGTAAATCCTTAGAGTTTTTTCGTCTCAAAAACACAGAGCTTCTCTATTCAAATCAAAAATAGCACTGGCGTCACGTACGAACAGAGCAAGACTTAAGCAAATGACGTCACTTGCGTGATGGGCCGGATATTTTTTCGGAAAAATGTCCGGAAGATTCTTTCAAAACAGATTTTCTACTTGACCTAAACGACCTTGCTTTACTAATCTCCGACATTCCGGTGCTATTTTTGTCACCATTTTATTGCGATTAAATTTCTTACTCTCCAACCAAAAAATAAAAATAAAATATTCCAACAACATGCTTTCTCTTCACGGATCATCGAGTTTGTAAACAGCACGTGCAGTGAATTTTATATTATTTTCAACAGGTTTGAACACATCCAGGCTATAAGGAATACTATATTATTGCATGTAAAGACTCGAAGTGGTTCTAGCTGATCTCATTCTCTCATTTCTTTGGCACACCGGCGACCGCGCTCGGGTTACTCCCCCTTTTTAATGTCAGTGTAATGTCATCACGTGGACATCAATGAAAATTTAAAAAAAGAAAACTTCTATCTTTTCTGAATCAGTAAAGATAAAGTCTGAAAAACCCCCTCAAATTAATTCATGTTCCCTATACCTAACTTTCAGGGCCTTTTTAGGGTGTGCACACATTGCGTAACTGCGTAAGAGTTTATACAGGATAACCCACACAAAAAATAACTAGGCGGCGGGGAATAAAGGAAAATAAAGGCTATAGGGGAAAGACAAAAGTTCTTTTATACTTCATGAAATGCATGCCATAGCCTGTTCGCTTCCTTCACAAAAAAAGCCTGAATTTTGTGGTCGCTTACTGGGGATTAAGCGACTCTACACTCTAAGTAATGTCTGAAATTCAGGGCTATCACGAAGCAGCTGAAACAGGCCCTAAATTGTATTCAGTTGCTGTTGTATACAACTGATTTCCTTGGAAATCAGGTTTTGAAGTCTTTGCCCATTTTTTCGTTTTTAAGAACGTGACTTGTCAAAAATTAAGACAACAGTAGTATCTTTAACTGAAAATCAAATGAACTAAGTGATCGATCACTGGCTTTGTCAGTTAGCACGCCTACTCTTCGATTAACGGCGGTATTTTCAGGTGAAACTTGCTTGCTTAAAATTGTTGTTGTTGTTGTTGTTGTTGCTTGCAAACAAGTTTCTATAATTTCTGAAGTTCAGTAAGAGCCTGCTTGAGATAATCACTGAGTCATCGCCTCTTCAAAATAAACAGTTTTAGCGGCCTCTCTTGAATTTAAAGAGAGATATAAAAACCGATTTTTTTTTTTTCAAATTTCCTTCTTGCATGGTTAATTTATATCCCCACGTGAAAAGTGGCACAAACAACCTGACTGTAAATCACGAGATGATCTGGCCGGAACTCAATGAGAGCGCATAATTTCCGGGTTGTCAGTTGGAGGCGTGGAGCCGGACAATATTTTAAAAGTGGTTTGTGACAAGAGAAACAGGTTAGATAAACAGGAGGGCATTTTGTATGCGTATGCGTCGATACGGTCTGTTGAACATTCTCGACCCCAGTGCCTACGGGTTTGGGTATGCTCGCGTACGACCTTACGCATGCGTACAACAGTAATGATAATAATCGTTTATTAAAAATTTATGCGCGCCTTTTCCATGTGATCCAAGCGCGTTAAAATGCTACTTAACCCATTCGCTCCTGGAGATTTTGCCGAAAAACGCGTTTTGAAGCTAGTCGAGTGGTTTTCTGATCACTGTCGTGCTATAAAGAGCTAAAACTTACCACAAACTGGTTTACAGGTCCAACACTTCGCGGCCTTCTGATCCAGATGCAAAATATCAGCTTGCGAAGTTCGGGCATGCGCAGAAAGCAAAATTTCGAGAGTTTTTTTGGGGGTTTAAAAGTGACACAGCAGTCTTGACTTTTACTTTTCGCTTTCTCTCCTCCCTTCTTTTTTCGCTTTTCTTGCCTCATTTTTTTTCCCTCTTGCTGGGCATTTAGTGGGCTTCATTTTGGAGGGAAGAGTTTTTAGGAAAGCTTTTAGGATCTTAGGATTAGGTGAAAGGAAAGGTAGGTAGGTAATGGAACAAGATTTTCATGGAGATTTTCAGGTCAATGTCACGTGGTTTTTTGCTTGTTTCTCCGGTGTCCTTGACTGAATTGTGCTCATTCTAGTATGGTTTGAAAGATCTCTTCACTCTGCACAAGTTAGCGAAGAAAGTTATCCTTGACCGTTAAAACTGATGACGTCACAATGGGTAGAAAGGACCTGGATCCGCACGGGCGGTTACGGGCGGTTCAGGGGCGAATGGGTTAAAAAGAAAACAAAAGCTCAAATGTACATAGTAATAAAAGCTAAAAATTTAAATAAACTCACTAAAAACATTACATCGATCTTAGCAGGTTCAAAACATATCAGCAAAAGCAAGTCTAAAAAGATGCGTTTTAAAAAGAAAACGTTAAAAACGTTCAAAATTGTCCTCACGGCTGAGAAGCTGGGGGTAGATTGCTCGATATGTTAGGGGTCGCAGACGAAAAAGCGCGATCCCCTAATTAGTCTTTTTGAGTTTTAGTCTAGGATATTTTAAGAGAAGACCTTTAGTTTAACGGAGACTATAGCGCGGCTGTTCTTTACTAGCGAACAAGTCACTCAAGTACGGGCGCATGACCATAGATAGCTTTAAATGTAAGAAGTATTTAAATCCACGAGATTTAACAGGAAGCCAGTGTAAACAACATAGTACAGTAGTGTTATGTGACTGTCTTTTAACCCCGCTCCGCTGGTTCAAACAAATCAAGAGGACTGTATCTTTCGATGTAACAACACGATTTAATGCAATCCAACAATCTACTGCGATGTACAACTCTCACATATTCAACGTTCGTAACTCAACGATCAACGTAACTAAACGATCAACGATCAACGAATCGATCAACTCAACTAAAACATTCTAAGTATACAGTGGTTTTTCTACTATCCTTGCGTAAGGCAGTATTTTTACATTAATCACATGTACAGTAAAAGTTCCCATTGTAATGTATCTAAATTAAGTGTCTATTACAAAATCGCACGTTCTTTCACCTTATTTAGCCTAAGAAAATGCATGCAGTTACATCATTTTATGTCGTAAATATACTCGGACTTTGTCTACATTATTGTGAAATCTGATGTCACGAAATCTAACTTCTTTGCGCTACAAATGTCAATTTCTAATTAATATTTAATCACAGAATAATCAAGTTAAGCATTACCTATTTCTTTTCCGACAACGAGTACTACATCAGTTATAAGCCTCTGCATGCGATAAGTGCTAAATCGGAGAAAAGTATAATAGGAGTTGTGAACCATACTTCAGTTGTTCACACTCATAGTGGCTCTCACAAGACATTTCCCTTTTCCTACATGAAATTTTTATGTCAATCTTGGAATTTTTGCTTGATAAAATGTTCATGAACGTTTAAGTCTCTTCAATAGTTTAAAGAAAAAATCATCGAGGGTGGCACAAGCTGGATTCGATAGCGGAGCATCGAGTCTGCTACCCTGCGAGCAGAGGCTACATTTTCGAGGTCTGCAGTCCCCCATCCAAACCACCAGATTGCCAAGGATTTGCTGGGAAGAGGTGGTTTGAGTTGAAAGTATATGGCATCAACCTTAACCCCAAATAGAAGCTAACCGTTTTCCGAGTCAGTGCTTTAAGGGCTTAACCCTAATCGGTATGCGGTTCCTTCCTTTGTAGAGAATTACTTTGTGTATGAATCATTATGTCAACCTCGTCCTCAGGGCGCTTCTCCACCTAGCCGGAGAAAAGTGACCTAGGGACGAGGTTGTATTTATGTGTCAACGTCATTATGGAGTTCTGAACTGAATTAGTTATAAATACTCATCTCCACTTCTACGATTATATCGATTCTCGCGTTTCGTTTTAGGACTCCGATTCTCCCGATTTTTGCCAGATTGTTTTGACTTTACAATTCTTTTCAGTTGCCTTTAATTCGTTTTGCGGTTACGATTCTTAAGAAAAAAGCGTCCCGCAAATGTAATATTTTATATGGCTTACTTGTTTTTCTTTAAAGAGAAAAACAAGTATAATACGAACAAGGCGTTTAACTGTAATTCCCCCTTAATGCAGTGTTGATGCGTGCGGAACCAGAACCGCCCTGGGGTGAAGGCATTTCTTCGGCAGGAGGGGAACCCTTCTGCGCACCAATGAATGTTCCGTGTCGCAGTCTGCGCTGTGGTAGTTGGGTGTTGCTAGTGCGCCTTAGCTGAGTTCTTCTGGAGGAGATTCTGTGGTATGGCTTTATATTGAAGAACGTATTTCTGATTGTAATAGGAAAAAAGTTCGAGCAGGCTTTGTTCATTCTCATTCATTCTTCCGGATTATGTCAAAGTACCCTACAGCTGACCCTAGGCAGTCGTTCTGACTCCACCCAAACTCCAAGTGCTGTTATAGGCCGGTACCTTACTAACAGCAGCAACAAAATCTTAGTAAAATGATTGATCTTTAACCTTGGGGCGTTCGTTAAGTATTTTCAAAAAGCCCGTGAATGTTCAAATTAAAGTCGCAGGGCGTGCGTGTCTTCTGTATCGATTTTGTACCCTTAGATGATTCAGTTCTCCCAGCAATTCCGGACACTAGCAGTCACAGTCCTTCAGCTCTACCCTACCATAAAAAGACATAATCCTTCTCACAAGGTGCGCCGCTTCCTTCAGAAGCCTGGAGTTTTTGTCACAAATTATGTGTGATACAACCAGTTGTATGTAGCTTTAATTCTTCACTTCATTGAAAGTATATTTCTTCACATGTTCATATTTTAGAATTCTGTACTCTGTTCTACACTTAAAGAATTCATCGACATCAATTTTCGTAAAATTTCGATGATCTACACTCAATCTACCCACTCAATAAGCTCCACGACTCCGAACGACTACACAGTTCCTAGACTCTTGTACAAAGTTCAGTTCTCAGATCACGTGGCGAGTTTTCCCGCCACAATGACGCAATAATTTTCTAACAGTCTTGGAAAGAAGCTAAATCAACATTCAATCCTGTCAATCTAGACAGTACAGCATCGATTACATCCATGTAATGATTGCTAGGGACAAACACCTACGGGAACTTTAAAAAAAGATAACATGCAGATACTCATTGTCTAAACTATCATCGTCGATCATTTAGGCGCGGCAACGTGTCCATGATGTTTTCCCCAAAAAATTAATAGTGCACGCTTTAAACGTATACGTAATTAGATGTCTTCTGGATTTTATTCAACTTGGCTGATGTAAAATGCATTTCTGCCTACTGTATTTATTTTTTTTGAGCGACTGGACTGTAAACTGACACGTTTGTTTGAAAATTGAAAGTAATTTACTTCATTGTTCAATAAACTAGTTTAAAACTCTTACTAACCCTGGATTTGTGCTTATCGTCCTTCCTTATGGCCGCAATTCAGCCAAACATGTGGAACCCTAAACATGAATGCCCAAGATTAAGTAGTTACTTGAAATTCCAATTTTATATACAGTCATTGTAAGTGCTAATATATACTCATGTATGCGACTTGAGTCTTGTTAAGGAATTTTTTTTGTCTATACAATTCTTTTTATCCATTGGCGATAATATGCTGTACCATATTTAATGCAAAAACCAATGTTTTGCCTCAAAAGTCTCGCGAAAGAGTGGAATTGTCCTATTGACAAGCAGATCATTCGATCGGTCTACCGGCCTGTATCCCATAAGATTCATAACTTTCGCACAGTTATGCTCTATTATATCAATTTCATGTGGATGTGCTCCCCATCTCCAGCGGTTTATCGCAGTCCAGTAATCATCTTTGGTGCAAGTAACATCTACTCCGTCCATGTGATTACAGGCTGCCCTACTTGAGTGCGTCGTTTGTTTCAACCAGGTCTTCACGCTTTCCAACACAGGCAGCGCAGCGAACTCGAAAAGACTTGATAGCTCTTTCAGTGGGTTCATGGCCAAGTCTTCGAATCGCTGAATTTTGATCCTTTCTCGAAGTGAATCAGGTAGTCTTCTTACATACTCCAAGTTTTCTTCTGTCTGCTTACACCGCTTATAGCTGTAGCTTTTGGTGCCCTGAAGAGCTGTCCGTCCTCCAGTCTCTTTGAAAAACCCAATGATACGCGAAGAAGTAATTACCGCTCTGGGGTCTCTTATCAGAAAGACAACTTTGCAGTCGACGTCCTTTGAGTTGCATGAAGAAAAAATAGTTTTTATGCTGTTTTCAGGAATGCGAGCCATAAGAACCTTTATGACAGTTAAATCGTAGTGATCCCTACAAGCTGTGCCCAAAGCTTTACTTGTCATGGGGTGGCAGAGTTTGGGATTCCATTTTGGATCTGTAAGTCGATAAGGACACAAGGGCGGAGATGCAATAGCTTGGCTTATGCGTGGGTGGTCGGGTTTGCGATAATATCTTTGCATATCATACAAGATATCTGGATCGTCAAATGTGCAACGAAATAAACCAGTTAGAAAATGATCGACCATTTGACTATAATTGATATTTCCGCCTCTAAATCCTTTCATAACCCTTTCGGGGCTTTGTAACGGCTCGTACATATAAAAGACGGAGGGATGGTGATTAAAAATATCACCCATTAGAGTGGAACCAGAGCGGCCATGCGACACGACGATTAGGTTCTTTCTAACTCGTTCTGAGCCACGTGTAAAGTTGCTTGCTGGGCCGTTGGAAAACACTTTTTCGAAGTTCAAATAGAGTTCTGCATTACGTCGCTGCTGCTCGCGTTGTATCAGAATATCCAAAAGATAACTCCCTGCAATACAGAACGCAGCCACGCCGAATAATATCAAAGGAACATTCCGCCTTAGTCGACTTATAGCCATCTTAGGGAAGCGAGGTATTACTGAACTGAGAAGACTGAATATTATAAATTACACGACTGTGAATATAAAAGGCATTCACTAATAAAATATTCTAATTAAAAATCCGATGACATTGTTGATACATCTGTGTTGTGGGATGATAAATGATTAAGGTGAGAGAGAAGTAATTAGAAATAATGATGTTGATAAAAACGTTACTTGCATAAACAACAGTAAAAAGAGCGTATTAAAGCTTTGAAACTGTTTCACGTTGAATTGCGGTGACTGTAAGCCTCATTTTGTCATTATATTCGAATTTTGGCTTTAATTAATTCCATTATTATCCTCTTCCAGAGGGTTTGTTTGAATATATGCCCAAAACAGGGACAACAAATTCATTTTTAGCCTTTAACATATGAAAACATTTAATCTTTTAAGTTCAAGTTTTGCACATTGAATACATGCTTTTTTCAGTGCTGAGCCTTAGCTTAGACATAAACGCGGCGATTCAATATAGCTTGGCTTACGCGAGGATGAGCTGGTTTGCGGCAATATGCCTCAATATCAGCTCAGTAAAATCTGTGGCTGGTCAAATTTGCATTTAAATATACCCGTCAAAAACTGCTTGGCCATACTGTTGTAACTCATATTTAGTTTGATCGCATTTTTTCCTTCAACACGTTGGTTGGTTTGTAGCGGTTCGGACATATAAAACACGGAAGGATGGTGCTTAAAGATATCACCAACTGGTAAAATCCAGCTAGAGGTCTATTATCAGTGCTGTGCTCTGATTAATTGAGCTACTACTAGGCTATATGTATAGCCCACTAGTAGCGAAAAGCGCCGGCTTTTTGGAGGCAAAAAAGGATTTAAGTCTAGCTTTAAGTAGCTAAAATTTTTTATTATCGATATTTTGGACCAACTAGTTGGATCTTACTAAAACAATTATTCCTCTCGCCGTCATGGCCTCTGCGTCAATAGCCCATTCGGTCTTCGGCCTCATGGGCTAATTGACTCAGGGCCCATTCGGGCTCGAAGAATAAATAATTAGCGTACAGGTGAGTGTAGAGCCAGAGCGGCCATGTGATACCATAATAATATATCTTTTAGCTTGCTTAGAGTTTTGTTCTATTGAACCATCTTGTACAGCCTGTAGTGCCATCGTGATTGAGTCAAAAATGTTCATAGCAACACGTTTCAGGTTGTTCTCGTATGGCTAGATCGAGAGGTAAAGAATATAAATCGCAATAAATCACTGAGACGAAGCCCAATCAAGTAAAATAACTGTTTTCTTGCTTGCCTTGTTGCCAACTGCAGTAATTTTTTCATAGTTTTCCGTTTCGGCTCGCGAAACTGAAAAAGATGATATTAATCATAGGAGGTGGTTAAAACCTTCAGATACCACGGTAACGTGTGCAACTTGTGAAAAGAATTTTGAGCTCTCTTTATTCATTATCTCAAGAATAAGCGTAATCACGATGGATTTTTTCCCAAATATGACTAAGATATTCTGTTGTCCTTGCTTAATTAAATGTTGGTTTTAAATTAGCATTATACAGAGGCTCTATAGGGTTTAAACCAACAGCTTGAAATCTCTCTCTCTCTGGTTCTTCAAAGTAAGACAAAAAAAAATAATGATTATAAATATGATGCAATATTTGAACACAAATTAAATGAAATTTAAACAACTGGGATAAACGTTTTAAAGAAAGCCCTTAATACGAATAACCTAATAACCGTTCCAATTTTGACAATTTTTCAAGTTCGAAAAGTACCAGTTCCTTGTCGTACTTTTAATGTAAAAACCAATTTCTTGCTTCATAGTCCTCGCTGAACAACTGAACATCCTTATTCATCAGTAATTCGTAAGATCCCTCTGCAGCTAGGTAAATAACCCATCAATCGAAGAACACCTCGACAAAAATGTTCAACAACATTAATTTCATGTGGATGTACTTTCCATCTCCAGCGGTTTGCAGCAGCCCAAGCGTCATCTTTTGTGCACGTGACCAGTACCCCATCCATCTCGTGATTACAAGCTTTCGTCGTTTCGTTCAACCATGTTCGCACGCCTTCCAGCACAGTCAACCCAGCAAACTCATACAGACGTGAAAGCTCCTTCAAGGGCTTTATTGCCAAATCTTCATATATCTGAAGTTTGATTCTCTTGCGTATTGATTTTGGTAGTTTTCTGACAAACTCTAAATTATCTTCTGTTTGTTTGCATTGCTGGTAACTGGACATTCTTGTGCCTAGCCGGCCTTGATCGTCTCCCTTCTCCTTAAAGAAACCAATACCAAGCAAGGAAGGGATAACAGCTCTGGGGTCTCTCACGAGAAAGATAACTTTGCAGTCGCTGTCCAGAGAGTTGCATGAAGCTAATATAGTTTTAAAGCTATTTTCAGGAATGCGAGACATAAGAACTTTAATGACGGTGGAATCGTAATTATCCCCACAAGCTTTTCCTAAGGACTCGCTTGTCACTGGATAACAGAGCTGTGGTCCCATCCTTGGTCTGTAGGTTTCTAGGGACATAAAGGCTGCGATGCAATAGATTGGCTTACGCGAGGATGTGTGGGTTTGCGGTAATATCTCTCAAAATCAGCTACAATATGTGGCTGGACAAATTTGCAGTCAAATATCCCTGTTAATAACAGTTCGACGATACTTCTATAACTCATATTCTGATCTGTTTGCTTTAGAACACTTTGGGCGGTTTGTAGCGGTTCGTACATATAAAACACAGAGGGACGATGGTGGTTAAAGATATCACCCATTAGCTGAGAGCCAGAGCGGCCATGCGAAGTAATGATGATGTTTTTTCTACTGTTTTGGAGCCATGTCCCATTGTAGCCACCGGGCTAGCGAGTAGACGCATCTTGATGGAGTCCAAAAAAAACGTTTCCATCTTCAAGCTCGAGCCGGTTATCTGCGTACATTCGGGTGAATAAACCCAGAAAATAAATCGCAATAACTGAAAAACCTATCAAAAAGGGTAGTTTTATCCTATTAGCTTGATCAAAAAGTAGGGTCTTGATCCCTGAACGACATAAAGGAGACAAGACGTTAAGGCTGTCAATAAACTGATCTAGTGCTTCACTCTAGACAGTGTTTGACGATTTCAGAAGTATACTGTCTTGTTACTGGCGTAAAAGTTTCAGTTGTGAACATCATTTCGTGTCATCTTCGCCAACTTTAAAAACTGTTAGGAGAGAAAACAACAACAACAGAGAATCGCTTTTTTAGCTGTGAAAATGGTGAACTCTAATAGAGATCTCGTGCTTGTCAGGAATTTAAGATGGCTGAATAAAGAAAAGTATTCTTTTTCTGTCCATTTTATTCAGTTTTCCTCCTCCGCCTTGTTTTTGTTCTCCAAAAATCGAATTCGTAGTGCGTCTGGCGGGCTGGAGATGCTTATTTAAAGCGAGGCGTTTAATCAAGGGGATATTTACGAAAACGAAGGTACATGGGGGCCGTGCATGCGTGGCAGGCGACGAAAGGGGAGGGGGAGGGGGGAGTGAGAAAAGCTCCAATCCCCCTCCCTTTATCCCTTCCTCCCTACCCCCTACCCCTTTCGACACCTGCTACGAAGGCCAAAGGAGCGCACAAACATGAAAACATCCCCAGTCCCCCCCTCCCCTATCTGTTTATTCGCGAGGCCCTCTTAGTTCTGTCTGAAAGCCTGAAAGAAATGTTCTCACTGTCCTTATGCAATCAAACTTGTTCCTTTCATTACTATCAACCTCTTCTTTGACATCAATAGTTAAATTGTTAATAGAGCCGTTTCATTGACGGACAGACAAAAGTAAAAAAAAAAACTACCAGATTTGTGATTACATATGCAAAGTAAATCTTCTCGGTGTAAAGATCTAATTATTAAGCAGTACGCGCCCCAGCGCGGTTTATTGTCCTACATTCTATTTTACAATGTGTATATTATAAAACTCTTTTTTGTTTTTGGCTTGGAGTGTTGCAAAGTATGTTGCCAACCTCCACTGTGCGATCCGACCTCCTCCCATAAGTGACAACCTATTCAAAACACAAAAATTTTCCCAGTCAGAGAAACCCTTGTCGCTTGGCCTTTTACGGTCCTACCCCCTTTGGTCGGGGTTGGGGTCTATCTCTTTTTTAGGGTTATATTAGGGTTAGGGTTAGTGTCAACCCTAAACCTAATTAACATAACCTTAATCCTTTAAAAAAAGATAGACCCGACCCAGACCCTGCGTTTCACTGGCACCCGGTTGCAATTTATAACAGTACTTGTTTTTCGGTTAGGTCGAGTTAGAAAAAACGCTTCTGGTGGGGTGTGAACCCGAGAAGGGTCCAAAGGGTGCCTTGAACGTTCATCTATAGTTTGTCATATTTCAAAATAGAGCTACCAGATTTTCATTCAAATAAAGTAGAGACTAGCCTGCGCCACAGACAAAACTAGATTAGGTCACTCTGCAACGCAGGCTAATATGGGCATTACCAAGTGGAAATTTCAAGACTTGGTTAAACTTGACCATGGAAAAAATATTCCTATAGAAACGTCACTACCTGTATGTCAAATAGAAAAGGTTATAAGGATGCACCTTGCATGCTTGCTAACAATTTCTAGTGCCAATTGTTTCCTTCACCAGAATATATACCTTTGAGTATCTGTAATCGTCCTTTTTAAAATAATTTTCATGGTTTCTTTTTTTGACACCAACAGATACAACTAGCGAAAATATTGATGATGCCAAACTTCTCTTTCTTTCCTGGATTCACAGCCAGTCAGAAAAGCTCATGATGAGTACAAATGGAATCAAAAGTATAACAAAGAGTCACTTACAGATAGTTAGCAAGATGCTTTTATATAATTTCCTTCCATTGCAAAGAAGTTTGTTTTATATGTGGCTTGGCTTTGAAATGAACAAAGAGCTATTTCTCCAACAATATATCGTATGCACACAATTTCCTAACAATAAGTTACAGTGTAGTTATATTTTGGGGCTAAAAAAATCAAAAGTTCATACAACTTTCACCTTGCTTAAAATAAATCTAAAAATAAATTAATACAATATTATTTTATAACTATTAATAACAACCATAAATCTACTTATTTGTTGTAACTGTGTAATGGTTAAACTTAAGGAAACCATTACCAGTCCATACCATGTGTCATCCCTATAGCTAATGTCAGACAATGGTTCCAGTGGCATTATTGGCCATTTCAGAGTTGCGTACGGAACTGGGGTGAGTTTCAAATTTCAACTAATCGATAAACTGACACCACCATATAAAAGGTCATGTTGAGATTGGTCATTTGACCAAGTTTGGTGCTCTAAGGTTGAACAGGGATCAAGTTATGACTCTTGAAACATGGTTAAAGAGCCATACAAACCTCTGTAGTTTTGTGACTCTTAATTTTTTTCACGATTTCTGTGATATTCCTAAAAATGGGCAAACACGGTGATTTTCGAATTAGTTCCTTTCAAGTAGTAGATGCATATTATGAATTTCACAGTTTAAAAGAAAAACTGTAAAATTTTAAAGAGTTTATATACTCGGTCAAATGACCAATCTCAACATAACCTTTTATATGATGGTGTCAGTTTATCGATTACCGGTAGTTGAAATTTGAAACTCGCCCAAGTTCCATGTGCAACTCCAAAATGGCTCATTATACGTGAAATACATTTGTGTGGGTTATTATTTATCTTTTCTTTAGATAAATATCAATCACTGTTTCGTGGCATTCTCGCAAGTTAAAGTCACAAAATCCAATGCAGAATTTCCCAGGAGGTGCTTTAAAGTAATCAAGGCCGCGGCCAATTTTAATCACCCAACCATTGTTGAACCGGATTTCACGGTCATGAAGGGTTGATGAGTACCCAATCTCTAAATTTATGTTGTGTCTCTTTAAACTGTTTTTAAGTCCTTGCAGCCTCTTGGCTTGATTATTTTGACTCTCAGGATCTTCATCTTGAACTGTGGAAAAATAAAAAAACATTTACTGAAATGTTGCCTAAAACCAATGTCCCTACTTAGTCTGTATATTGGAAAGCTTTTACCATTTGGGAAAAAATGACAAAGAGCGCTGTGAAACACATTGTAGCCTGCGAAAACATCCGCTTCTCCTTCGCTCTTCACCGCAAGGGGGTTTCCTCCTCATGAAACGTCCCCAGCAGCGAAGAACGAAGGAGAAACGGATGCTTTTGCAGGCTAAACACATTTGCGTGGCGAGAAAGTACATATGTTGTGGCTATAATTCTAAAGTAATGATGTCATAAAAGTTAAATTTTTGAAGCATTAAATGCGATTTGTCAGACTTGCCAAGTCTCACAAGCTTAACTGTTGTGAGTCTTGTAGCCTGCAAGCAAGCTCTCCTGAAGTGCGGGAGGGAAACAATATTCAAGAACTATCTCGCAAGAGATCATGCTATGTGACTTTGAAAACCCATAATTCCTGCTAGAAGTCTCAGTGGTGGATTCAGGGGAGGGGCCTGGGGGGCCTGGGCGGCCTGGGCCTCCCCTTATGTTTAGACCAAACAGAGGCCCAAAGGGCCAAAAAAAGTTTTTCCCTCCCCTTTCCTTATCCAAGCGTCTGGATGACCGACCCCTGTCCCCTTATCTCAAGGTGTGGATCCGGCACTGAGTCCTTCCACTAGAAAATAGACCTCTTTAGCTTGCCTGCTTTGTTTTTCCAATTCTTGAATGTCTCAGCAGAGGAAATTGCCACCTATGTCTTATTGAATTATGCACACATATGCACGGGAATAAGACAACATTTGAATGAAACTATTCTCTAGAGTATTATTACATGACCTACTTTGGGGAAACAAAATATACAAGCTGAAGAAGTCTATTTGAGACATCTCAAACCTTTTCCCACAGCTCGGGAGACAATTTTCCCGAGCGTAGAGGGAGGGTGAGTTTTCAGTGTTCGATTAACAAGTCAGCGGTAGTTTGGCAAAATGAAAAGAGAGTTCCGGTTAAATGATCGATCTTCCTGTCGGGAACCTTCTGGTTGACTCGTGACCTTATTTACTTATGTCAAATTTTCGCAATCTGGTGGGAAAACCAGCCAAGTGAGATCAAGGCCTTCAAGATCTTTCAAGCGACAATTATGAATTCCTCTATGGACAAAGTAAAGGAAAAAGAGATTGCATTTCTTCAAGGAAATTTTTACAATGTTCGTTTTTCGGAGAATTACTGTTTTGCGGTTCACGAAGGAGACGTGGAAAGTCTAAGTGATTTGATCCACAAATATCTTTCTGTGAATTTCGACCTCATTCACTCAAACAAAAACAATACAGGGAGAGAATAGGCCATTGCACGATGGCGTCATTTTACTACTATGACCAGAATCATTTTCGTTTTTCCTTTCAAATTTAAATTTTGTAATCCCAGTGAGGTTTGAATAACAAAAGCTCTAATTAGCACAAGATAGCAAAACGCTGAAGGATTCTGGTCGTAGTAGTAAAATGATGTCATCGTGCAAATGACCTGTTGCTATTCGTGTTTACTTTCATGTACGAGGTAACCCTTACATAACTGTAATAAGGTCAAAACTGAAAATCAGAATACCAGACCTCGGCCTGATTCAGAAATATTTATGGCTCTGTTGGTGTTGTAGCTTCGCAGCACACAGTGTAAAAATACATCAATACAACTTCAATGCTTACTCCAGATTTCAAGTGATGATCGAAGGATATTTTGGGGGCTTGAAATTTTTGCTCCGGGATTTTTTTGGTGGCTTTTTTTAAGTAGAATTTTGGGGGGGGGGGGGGGGGGGG